AGGCTTTTCCACAAAGTTACAAATTCTCCCCTCCCCCAACACATGCACCTCTTTGCCTACTGACCTCTTTGAAAGGAAGTCGCTACTCACAACCCACATTTAAGGAGTGGGCACTTAGGTTCCACCTCCTTGAAGGCAGAGTGCATTATTTCATATTCTTCTGCATGGGAGATTTCTCTCCTCACCCACTTACTTACGTATACATTGTCCATATTAGTATGAACCTGCAGATATTTATTTTAGACTTGAGTTATAATCCAATACTGCTTTATTCTGTTGCTTGAAGGTTTCAGTTTCGCCACTGGGAACTCTTTCAGTTGGTTCCCGTGTCCCTGTCCCTTTGACATGCTTCCATCAGTATGGATTTTCTTTCTTTTCATTGAAAATAATTTGGGGGAGTGTACTTTCTTACTTTCAGGCATCACAAGGTGCTCCAGGCTCATCATGTATCCAACGTGCATATTTCCTGCCCTAGAGCTTGAATCAGCCATTTCCCCATGGAATGTTGGTTCCTTTTACTGGAAAATAGTATTAGAAATCAAGATCTGGGCACTGGGTGTGCTTATTGTTACTGGGGTATCATTGCTGTATGTCCTCTCAGGGGACAGAACAAAGAAATATATATGCACGTAGCTATACATAGTTTTATATTTAACCATCTGTATCTAAATTAAACACAAATTCATACTGATGTCTCCAACTCAGTCCACTATCACGTGGATCATTCTAGCTTCCTAGATGTTATTTTGTGTGTATATATATATATATATTTTAATCCTCACCCAAGGATATTTTTCTATTTATCATGAGATAGAGTGGGAGGAAGGGAGGGAGGGAGGGGGAGAAACATTGATGTGAAAGAGACACATCAACTGGTTGCCTCCCGCAGGACCCCAACCAGGGCTGGGGACAAACCGTAACCCAGGTACGTGTCCGTGCACAAATCAAACCTGAGACTCATTGGTCTGCCAGCCTATGCTCTAACTGCTGAGCCAAACCAGCTAGGGCTTAATTTGTATTTCTTATAAAATGGTAGTCAGATCCAGATTCAATTTAAACTTTTAAGGATTAATATTTCATAGGAAGTGATGTGTTCTTTCATCATGAGGCGTAAAATAGCTGTTTTTCTATTCCTGGTGTTAGCAGCCATTGATAATCGATCCCTAGGATCTATTAATTCTTTAAATTTTAAAAAATGGTAAATATTTTATTGGCTCTGTCTTTCTACTTTGATTAACTGGAATATGCTATATAAGGAGATATTTCCCCATCAACTATTTGGTAGCCCTGAGATAGAGCACATATTTAAAAAAACAAAAACAAAAACAGGATAAATGTTTGATTCTTTTCATTATTTTTAAAATAATAAATTCAGGAAGGCAGGAGGGGAGGGAGCAGGGAAGAGACAGTCAATGGGGGACAAAATGCAGAACATCTGTAATACTTTCAACAATAAAGATTAAATAAAAATAAATAAAATACTAAATTCATCCCCTAGCATCCTCTGAGGTTTTGAGTGCCACATGAACGCGGAGTAGCTCTTGAGGTACGTGGCATGCTCAACAAGCCCCGTCCAGCTTTGCCCCTGGCGTTCTGCCTAGTAGATAGGATGGGGGAAGCAGGAGTCTTGGAGACCAGGCTCCCCTGGGAGGGGCAGAGAGCAGTTCAGAAAGGGATGCAAGCTGGGATGGGGGGGTGAGGAATGAGGACTTCCCTGTTCATTCATCCTGAAAAAGCTCTGGTCTCCAAAGTCATTAATTCTTAGGTAACAGTTGCCTAGGTTTCAATTTTTCATGTTGCCTTAGAAACATTGGAATTCATCTTTAAAAGCCTCCTCGAGCAACCAGGAAAGAAATCTATAACCGTCTGAAGCCCTGGAGCGGGCACGTTGGCCCCAGGTTCTTCGAGGAAGCCGGTCTAGGAGAGAAACCTAGTCCCTTTGGAATGTTGGGGCTAAGGGTTAGGGCGCTGATTCTCAGCCTGGTTGCTTATTCGCGTCACCTGAAACCCACCGGACAACCACCCCTGCTTCGGCATCGCCGCCAGAGGTTCGGAGCCCGTTGGTTTGGCAGTTTTCGTGAGCTTTTTTTCAAGGTGATGCTAATGTTTAACCAGGGCCATTCCCAAGCCCCTAGAACTCTGACAGGGCAAGGAGTTGTGTCACGCACAGTCCCGTCGCCTGGATCAGTTGCCCCGTGTTAGCAGACCCCACCTCTGCCATGTTATTCAGAAGACAATGAGCTAGCACCGATGATGCCAGGGATGCTCACCCTCCCCTGACGATTGTGGCTGACTTCCAACCCACAGGTCCTGAACGTGACACAGCACAATGCCGACCCGCCACACCAAGGACGGCTCCGTTAATGCTGGCACTGATCTCAGTGCTTTAAAACTCTCACTATTCCTAGTAGGTTGGTATCATCTCCACTTAACAGATGAGCAGCTAGGAAACTGACAGAGTTAAATGATGCTAAGGCGACCGGCCTGGGTCTGGGGCTTCTTGGGCTCGTCCCTATCCTGTGCTGTGACTCTAAGCCCAGGCCCCCTTCGGGAGCTGCCTCACCCTTTCCTCTGTGTGATAAATATTGACTCCTGAGGCAGAGGTAATCTGCACAGAGTGCAAGGCCTCAGGAAAGGTGGGGAAGGAAGGCCTGGCCTGGGGTGAGACCCTCAATCCTTGTTCCTCAGCGTCCGGCCCTGAGTAGCCCCCTGCCCTGGGGTGGGCTGTTCCCCACCTTCCTTTTACAGCTCAATGATCTGAGAGTGTGTGAGGGTAAGTCTAGAAAGCCATAAGGACGTCTACTCTAAACCTTCCTCACTCTCCTTCCTGTGCCCACAGGGTTTCACCCAGAGCTGTTTCCTCACTTATCCTTACTTAAATAATTTTGTTTGCAGAAGCGAAAATGGCACCAGAATGTTACCAGTGATTAGACATTGGTTCAGCAACCTCGGTACTTGAGTTCTGGCTAAGAAGAAATTCAGAGCCTCTCTCAAAGAGGTAGACATTAAAATGCATTGTGCTGTGCCTTGGCTGGCTGGGCGGTTCAGTTGGTTGGAGTGTCCTCCCCTGCACCACAGGTTTTCAGGTTTGATTCCTGGTCAGGCACATAACTAGGTTGTGGGTTCAATCTCTGGTTAGGGCGCATACAGGAAGCAACCTATGTTTCTCTCTCTCTCTCTCTTTCTCTCTCGCCCCCTTCCTCTTTCTCTCCCTTCCTCTCTCTCTAAAAATCAATAAAAAACATATCCTCAGAAAAGGATTAAAAAAAAAAGAATTTAGAGTGAAGATTCAAACTATAAGTGAAAGTTTATTTAGAAAGTCCCAGAGGTAGAAGAAGTGAGCCATAGAAGAAATGGGTTCAGGAAACAAATTCCAGAGGCAAAAGAAGGGCCCTCGGAGCTTAGGGGAAAAGGAGAGACATAAAGGTAATGCTCCTGTGGAGGGGGACAGGAAAGGCGCAAGGGTGCTCCTGGGGTGGGGGTGGGGTCTTCCTTCCTAAGGGCTTTCTCTTAAGGGTGAGGATTTTAGGGGAGGTCCCAGGGGAGGATCTCAATAGAAGACCCATCAGCTTTCCAGGTGTGTCCTTTCAGGGTGGTGGTCTCTACCCTTTGGTTTGTGCCAGGGCAAGGGGTCATTAGTCATCGCAGCTGGTGCTGATGTCAGCCATGGCATAGCTTGTCTGGTTTTGCTGCATTTCTGGGCCTGGAGCTGAAACACAACTGAGGCCTAGATGTATTTGATGTGGGTCAGAATCTCACTGTCCTAGGGGCATAATGCTTAAGGGCTATTCTCCAGCTCCCTTCTTCATTCCCCTCTAAGAGGGTCTAACCCCCATGACTAGCAACATGCCAGGGAGGAAAAGTCAAAGGGTATAAACCTCATGGCCTGCAATATGCTAGGGGAGGTCCTTGTTTCCCCAGTTTTCCCCGTTGCTAGGCACCTGGGGCTTTCTGCTCTGGTGACCTGTATCTGGCCCATCATCCTTGCTCTGCTCATGTCTGTCTAACCGCCTACCACAATTTCATCACTCCTATCTCTTCTATCCACTGCCTATTGCCACCCCCAATTCTTGACTAGAACTACAATTAACATTGACTACCCCCCTCCCAAATCCCCATCTCAAAAAATGACACATCTTTAGTCCTGGTCAGTGTTGCTCAGAGGTTAGAGAGAGGTTGGGTGCAGGGAAATCGAGTCCCATTCCCTCCCGTCAGTTTCTATGAGTTGCAAACAGGAGGCAAGTGATAGAAAAATCTCATTGATGTTTCTCTCTCTCTCCTTCACTCTCCCTTCCTGTCTCTCTAGAATCAATGAAGAAATAAACAAAAACATATCCTTAGGTGAGGATTAAAAAAAAAAAATTACACCACCATCCACCCAGACCAGAAACTCTGACCTCATCCTAACACAATTCTCCCCCAACATTCAATTAGTCAAGGAGTCCCCTCAATTCCACCACTCAGGATAGCTGCTATACCCACCTCTCTCCATGCCCACTGCCCTGGGAAAGGCTGTCTCTGAAGCCAACTCTGCCTCATTTCCTTTCTAAACCCCACCCCAGGCCGTGCTTCGTGCACCATCCAGACCAGACCAGATGCCGTTCCCGGACGCTCCCTGCGTTCCTCCGGCTCCCAGGATTCGTCCCTAATTAAGTCCTGCTCAGGCTACGATCTCTTACGAGCGTCCCCCTCTCCAGACCCGCTCGTGGTAGGGCGCTAGATTGTGACGTGAACATAATTCACCCGCCACCCTCGCCATCAGGACGCCGGCTGCCCCTTCACCCTCTCCAGTCCCAACCCGGAGGACGGTTTCAGTATCCCCGCGGAGTCCCACTGCCAAGGGCTTCACCCAGGCCGCGCTCGCATTGGCTGCCACCTGGACAGTCACCGCCCCGAGCCCTGCAGGGATTGGTCCTGGCTGCCCCGCCCAGGCTCCGATTGGCCCAGGTTGAGACCCTCCGGCTTGCCCACGTGGGCCTTCTGGACAGCTGAAGGGAGAGCTTCCGACCATGGCCGGGTTCCGCAGGCTGGGGCTGGAGGAGGCCCTGGCGCTGGGGCCTAAGTGGCGGCACGCGTGCCACGCGCTGCTCTACGCGCCGGACCCCGGGATGCTCTTTCGCCGCATCCCGCTGCGCTATGCGGTCCTGGTGAGGAGGGGCACACGGGACCACTCCCCCGCCCCCAGCCGCCCCGGGTGTGGGCCTCTGGCGCCCCAGGCAATCCCCACTTCCCTCTCCTGCAGATGCAGATGCGCTTTGATGGGCGCTTGGGCTTCCCGGGCGGTTACGTGGAACTGCAGGACGGCAGCCTGGAGGAGGGACTGAACCGCGAGCTGAGCGAGGAGCTGGGCGAGGCTGCGGCCGCCTTCCGCGTGGAGCGCGCCGACCACCGCAGCTCGCACGCGGCGTCAGGCCCCCACTTCGTGGCCCACTTCTATGCCAAGCGCCTGACGCTGGAGCAGCTGACTGCCGTGGAGAGAGGCGCACCGCACGCCAAAGACCACGGGCTGGAGGTGGGGCCCGCCCGAAACCCCTCCCCGTGTCCTCCCTCCGTTTCCTGGTGTAGTTGGGAGTCTTGGACATCTGTCATCTGGATGAACTACAACCAACTGGGCTCCCTTTCTAGAACACACCCAGAGAGTCTCTTGTGCTCCCCATGTATAATGACCAGGCATTGCGGGCTAGGCCCCTGTTTTTCTTGGACAGGGTAGGAAATGTGGCCTGATACTCGGTGGGGAAACCTTGGCACTTAGGCGAGGGGAGTAGGGAGATGGGTCTCAAACTTTGGCAGTTATCAGAATCATTTCGCAGGCCTATTAAAACAGTGCTTACTGGTCCCAGTCCCAGAATTGCTGCTTTGAGGAGGTGGGGGGAGCGAGGAAAGGGCTGAGAATTTGCATTTTTCAGAAGTTCCTAAATGGTGCTGATCTGGCTGGTCGTGGTGCCACATTCTGAGAACCCTGATGTAGGGCAGGCAGGCATCCTGGAGGCAGATCCACTAAAGGTGTGGTGGTATGGGAAGGATTCTCCTTTGTGGAGCTGGTTAGCATGACTTGGGTCACTTGTCTGCAGAGAGCTAGGCCCACCCGGCTTTCCTGAGATAGGAGTCCCCAGCCTGGTTCTGCTGGACTGATAAGGGTGAGGTGTCTGATCTAGAAAGACTGGTGGGGATGAGTGACCTGGGTTCCCAGTGTCTCCTGTCTTTCTTCTGTCACAGGTGCTGGGCCTAGTGCGGGTGCCCCTGTACACCCTGCGGGACGGTGTGGGCGGCCTGCCTGCCTTCCTGGAGAACACCTTCATTGGAATTGCACGGGAGCAGCTGCTGGAAGCCCTCCAGGACTTGGGACTGCTGGAATCCACCTCTGGCCTCAAGCTTTAAGATCTCAGCTCTGAGATCAGGAACTTTGTACTTGGGAGGGAGGGAGGATAAAGGGAATGGTTTCTTTTCTGGGCCTAGGCCATAGGTTACAGATTAAAAGAAGTATGTGCCATATGTTCTGAGCAGAGGGTCCCCGGCAATGCATGGCACCTGGGGCAAAAATCTGCATCTCACCCCAGGGGCGGTGGCAAATTCTCAGAGCCTGTCTCCTCCCTGTACATTTGTACACACAGACTGGCAACCCCTAGACGTGTGAATGTAAAATCTGCGCCCACACACAAGCTGATGCCTTCCTATCCCCAAAGTTTAGTTTAACCAGGGAGTGGCATGTATGGGGCCTAAGTGGTCAGTTTCCTGTCCTCTTGCTGGGAGGAGCTTCTGAACCATACTCCTCCGGGGCTGCTCTCCAGGGTGGAGCCCAGCCCAGCCCAGCCCAGCCCATGAGTATTGTGGAAGAGAAAGAAGCAGGGAACCTTTTTCCCTCTGAAAGTGGTTGCATCCTTGCCTGGGATTTGGCCAAAGCAGTGTACTCCTGAAAGGTGGTAAATGGTCCCAACCAATCCCCTGCTCTCTTCTGAAACTGAGCAGAAAGGATAAGGAAATGGCTTGGTCTCCTTCAACTGACCTTGAACTTGACACACTGAGTCCTGGTGCATCTCCTTCAAGGTTTTCATCTTTGGGACCCCTTAGACTCGGGACATCAGAAGAAAGCTGACCCAGCCCTGGTCTGGCCCTGCTCTGACAAAAAGAGTCCCCCGGTAAAGAAGGGCTTATACTGGACTTCTCGGCCCTTCGTTCTTTCAACAATATGTAGGAGGTATGGAAGATCTAAGGGATGAGAGCCATGGGACTTGCTCCCCCTTGGAACTGGGAAGCCATGGGGGGGATAAATAGTAACTGTTTAGGCTTTGTTGGACCACATGGTCTTTGTAGCAACTATTCAACTCTGCAGTGCCAGAAGCATTAATGGACAATGCATACATAACAGGCTGTGTTCCAGTAAAACTGTTTCTAAAAGGAGGTGGCCAGCCTGTGGGCCATAGGTTGCCAACACCTGCTCTAGAGTGAAAGATAAGATTAATTATTTTAATTATGATGCCTATTGTTTTATTTATGTCCGTGTTAAGAAGGAAATGAAGGATTGATACAGATCCCACCTTGATATTTTTTACTTTTAGTTGAGGTGGTCCGGAAGGGACTTCTCTGAAGAGTATAGGGTGTCCCCAAAAAATGTATGCACAACTTTAAATAATTATAAAGCCAGTGTTTATTAAAATACATTTCATTTTTGCCTGGCTAGTGTGGCTCAGTGGTTGAGCGTCGACCCATGCACCAAGAGGCCGCCCTTTCCATTCCTGGTCAGGGCACAGGCCCAGGTTGTAGGCCGGATCCCCAGTGGGGGGCATGCAGGAGGCGGCCAGTCTATGTTCTCTCTCACTGATGTTTCTATCTCTCCTTTTCCCTTCCTCTCTCTATCTAAAATCAGTAAAGAAAAAAAAATACATTTTATTTTCAAAATGTATAGAATCTACAGACCTCCTGTATACACTTTTGGGATACCCTGTATTTTAGTTGAAAGATGAGAAGGAAGTAGCCACGTAGGAGTGTGGGAAGAATATTCTGAGGTTTTCCGGGAAGTAGCATGTTTTAAGGCCCTGAGGAAGAATGTTGGCAAATTATCCCAAAACAAGGGTAGGGGAATTAGACTACTTCTCAGTTGGAAGGGGAGGGGATTTGTGGACCCCTCCTTTCATGGACCAGAGCCTGGTCTGGAGCGGGAAAGGCCAGTGGGTCAGATAGAGTGAGCAAGGGGAGATGGAGCTGGAAGCAGGCAGGAGGCCTGGCTGGGGGCCTGGTGTGTGGAGCGTGGGCTCGAAGGAGCAGTAAAAGCAAGATGGGAGGCTGCCACGGCATTCACGGGGGACAGGTGGCGATCTGGGCCAGCGTGGCAGTGGAGTTGGAGGAAGTGGGTGCATTCGAGGGAGACGTTGGTGGCATTGCCAGGCCCTCTGATGGACTGGCTCGGCTGTGGTGAGGGAAGAGGATTCGAGGGTGACTTTTCAGTTTGTGTCTTAAGTTGTTCAGGTTGTGGAGGAAGGGAAACCTGGGTGTATGTGGGGGAGGGGTGCAAGCTCTTGGAGGGGATAGAGTCAAGGTCATTTGGGGCATGTTGAGATACAGATTTGTGATTTATGTGCATAAAGATGATACAGCAATTTGCCAGACTGGATGAGGTCACCCAGGGAGAGGAAGTGAGAGCCCAGGCCAGGGCCCAAGGAAGCCCGGCGCTGAGGGGGGAGAGGACACGTGAGAGCAGAGGTGGAGAGGAGGAAGAGTGGACCGTGCCAAGTGCCCGTGGGAGTTTCGGTACAATGAGGGGCACTGTCTGCTGCGTTGGCATGAAGTGTTTGATGACTGATGGGAGCGGTTTCAGGAACGGGTGGGAGTGGAAGGCAGGCAGGTTGGTCGAGTGAGTGGGGAGTGGACTGTGTGAGAAGTTGAGCTGTGGGGTCAGGGGAGTGTTTGCAGTGGGAGGTAGAGCCTGGCATGTGGATGGAACCGTTCGAGTGGAGAGAGACAGTGTGGGTCTGGGGGAGGGGATCACTGAAGGGCACAGCCCGAGGAAAGGAGGGGAGGGAGCCCTCCAGTCCGACAGGGTTTGGGAACAAGGACAGCGAAGTGAAGAGGATGAGGAGGGCTAAATTAACGGTGAGATAGTGGAGTCTGAATCTCTTCTCAAAGCGAAGCGAGACCAGCGGTGGACGTGCCTGGAAGATGTTCTCAGAAGGGATGGCGTAGGCGTTCATCTTGCTGTTGAAGAAACAGCAGAATGGCAGGGCAGGCTGTCTGTCCAGAGCAGGAGTCGCACTCGGCTGTGTCGGGTGTGTGTGCTTGTGCACATGTCTGCCCCTCGCGGGAGACCAGCTGGAACGGAGACATGGGGTGCAGCCTTGGGTTTGCCAGAGGAGTGCAGGGAGGGGGAGAGGCAGTAGAGTTACAGAGAAATGATGAGGGACTGTGGGGCGCGCGGTTATGAAGACGGGGCGGTAGCAAAGTGGTAGTCTTCATGAGGAAGAACTCCAACGTGGGGTGGGTGGGAAGGAATGGTTGGGCCAGAGAGGGGTAGAGAAGTCAGAGGTGAAGTCAAGGTCCATGTGGGTGATGAGGCAAGAGACTGACGTGTTGAAGGGAGTGTGAACTCAGAGCCAGCCCCCTCTGCAAACAGGAGGAGTGACCAAAAGGCCTGTGACAGCGGCCGGGGCAGTGGGTGTGACAGGACGGAGGAACCTGCGAGGACAGGGGCTTTTGAAGAAGGGAGGGGTGAGGAGTGGTCTGGAAGGGGACGCAGCAGTGTGGGCCCCAGCGGCCATCTTTGGCCTTTGAAGGTGGGGCCCAGCAGGAGCCCAGAGGTCAGGTAGGTAGACACCTAGAGAAGTGAAGACTCTGCCTTTTTCCTCCTAACCAATCCCTGAGCCTTGTGCAGACATGAAACCCTCAGGGAGGGCGGAGGGGATGGGCACTGAGTGCCTCTGGGATACCTGCCATCTGATTTCTATCAGCCTTCAGTTCGTCTCTGCAGGGGGGAGAGGACCCTGAGGCCCAGAGAGGAGGGAGTGGCCGCCCATGACGTGATGCTGGCTGACCCTCACCCCAGGGTCCCACCCAGGCTCTTCTGCACTGAGCTCAGTTTCAGACGGGACCTGGGCCAGCCTTGCACACCATTCATGAGGCGTCTGTGGTACGAGGGTCTCAGCACCATGTCTCCCAGTGCCTCCCGGCAGTTGTCATTGCGTATTTATTTATACAAACTTCTCTTATTTTTAGGTCTCTGGTGACTATCGAGGGGGTGAGGCCATCACTCCCCCGTGTCATCCCACACACCCTCCCAGCCAGCAGATCTCAGTGAGCACCTGTGGCTTGAGTCCATTTCACTGGCCTGGGCCCCGGTGCAGAGGCAGGCAGGGGGCGGTGAGCTCAGCCTCTGCCTTCTCCCTTCCCCATCGCCGTCCTGCTGCGGGCTGAGCAAACCCAGCACGATTGCCAATCACTAGGGCAGAGGGAAGATGGGAGCTTCTCAGCGCGCCTGGACCCTTAGTGGCAGCGGTGGTGACTCAGCCAGCCCTGGGCCTCCTTTCCTCCGCTGACACTGTGTGAGGCTCCCGTGGTGAGCGGCCCCCAGCACTGGCCCAGCCCCGGAGCCTCCGCTCGCTCCAGCTCCTCGGAGCATCCTGCCCCTTGGAAGGCGAGGGGCCTGGGCTGCCTCCCCCAGACCGTATTTCTGCCTTTCTCAGCATAGTCAGCAAGACGCCTCGCTTCTCCGTCTGTGCTTTTCCGTGAGTAATGGACCCACGCTGTCCTGAGCACGGTCCCCTCTGCTAACGAGTTTCCCGGCAGAGACATGACTGGAGGAAAGAGCCTGCCTGGCTGCTCCTTCCTCAGTCACCTGGACCTTCGGAAACCCAGGGAAACAGACCGGGGCAAAGCTGGGCAAGTGCGACGGGGTGTTTTCTGTGAGGTTCAGTTTATTGCACAGAAATCAGATTTTTTTTTCTCCCCAATCCTCTACCCCACACAGACTAATGAATTTTTTTTTAAAATAGAGGAAAAACAACAACAAAAAAAACCCACATCTTATTTGTGATGAAATTAGTGAATGGCATCAGCATTAGAACCAAACTGGAAGCATTAGGTGAAACTACGGATTCTTTAATCGACCAAGAGATTATCCACAGTGGATACATGGATTTCAGATTATATGCAGCAAGGAGAAATCAACAGAATATTGAGGGTCCACACACTTATTTCCTCCATCCTTGACAGATAAAATATCAAGGTAGAAGTATAAAATCTAGGATCTAAAACTTAACAACAGTGAGGGCGACAGTTAGCATTTTGTTGGTACTAACTGTGTGGCAGGCCCTATTCTGAGCTCTTCATGCATTACCATGTAGTCAAAACCATGAGAGAGAGAGACGCTTATCTCCATACCCCAAATTAAAAAAAAAAAAAACATAGGCACAAAGGCCAATAAAATAATTAATATACTTTATCTAAAAGACAAATTTTGAATATAACTTGAAGCAGAGAATATACCTTTAAGGACCCAGGGACCGTTTACCGAGTTTGCCATAGGATGGGCCTTAGAAAGTCTCAGTAAATTCTCTCCCGGTTTATACCACCCTGTCCGAAATATTCTGCGACCACAATATGTCATAACAGTAGAAGTCAGTGGCAGAGACAGACACTGACATACCCTTCTGTCACCAGGTATCTCAAAATGTTTGTTAGAAAAACAGGTTTGGGGTCTGAGAACCCTGCCGCAGGCCTACCTACCTCAGTATGTGGCCCCGAGAGGCACTCTTCCCGGGGATCCAAGCACGGATCTGCAGGGTTAGAACGAGCCCCTGACAGCAGTTCTTCGAAGCTGTCACCCTCCTGCCCAAGCGGCCCTGCGGCAGGAGGCAGCAGGAAGGGCCAAACCACAGACGTCTGGAGGTGGACACCAGGTGGGCCATGGAAAGGGCGGAGGGACATTTCAGGATCCTGGACTATCTTTCTGGTAAGTTCTAACGCAGTGGCAACGTGCTGAGAAACATCAGGTCTGACTTCCCGTATTTTCCATTGTTCTGAGATGCACATTTAAAAATCTTGAAACCAGATGGGTCTTACCGTGGATGCCAGCAGGGGCCTGATGAACACGCTGGGGAAGAACATCGGCAGCTTGAGGGGAATCCCGGAGCACTCTGAAGCAATGTTGTATCTCCATGGCTCTTGATGGACAGAAGTCAACGTTTTGTGGAAAAACACACCCATGACCCCAAGTTGAAACCTGATTCGAAAGAGCTGGACCCTGTGCAGAAATTTAGGGATACCTAAATCAGTTCATTTTGCTTGTATTTTTTATCTGTGTGTTTACAAGAATATCATAAAACTGATGTCTTAAAACGTTGAATCTTTTTCAATATAGAGACTTTTTTCCCCCAAACTTCTAAGTAATAAAGCATTGTTATGACTTAATGGCAGCATTTTTCGTTCTTAGAGGAACAGAAAATCATGATGGGTGCTGCAATCAATAATGTCTGAGAGTAGGTGGACTGCAGGAGGGGCGAAGCTTCATTGTTCACCCTGGAGGCATCTAGGTCATAGGTGACTTAAGAACTGGTCTGTGGTGTGCAGAGAGGACAGAGCCAAGGAGTCAGAAATGCCAACAGCGTGGCCGCTCCGCTCATCCGC